AACCATTATGCGCTCGTCCTGCTCGCGGCCGGAGTAGACGGTGCCCAGGGCGTCGGCGGTGGCCCAGTCGCCCGCCACGCGGCGGCGCCGCAGCAGGCCCGGCGGCGCGGCGGACACCACCCAGCGGTCTGTCACAAGCGCTCCGGTGAACTCGGGGCCCGAGTTGAGCACCACCAGCACCACCCACTTGAACTCGTCCTTCAACACGACGCCAGCCTTCGCACCCGCCCCCACCCCTGCTGCAGGGCTGCTCCCGCCGAGCGCCAACGCGGATACGCACCGAGAAGGGCCTGAACATCCGCGCCGGCAGCTCGGTGGCGGCGGGTGGCGTCTCGTACACTTCTGTCGCACCTGCGCACACGGCCCAACGCGCCACTTGTACTTGTCAAACGCAACCAAGCTCCGTGGTAGGGGCTGAGCTCTGTTGCAAGGATCGTGATACCGATGTATTGTATGGGGTGGAATGTCTGGATGTCGGCACAAGAACCGCAGTTCGGCGACGTTCTGGGCGATGAGTGCGACATGCCGGCGACGATCAGAGGTCTGAACCAGGTGACAGAGGCGATTTTCGCGTCACGAGAAACGGAGAAATATAGGATACCACTGTGTAATGCTAATGAGAGAGATGATGATCCTGAATCATGCAACTTGAAAACAATCCCATTTCTTCCTTCGTGACACTCGCATACTATCTTTTTTATCAGAAAATGAATTGCGCAAATTTGAATTTGTGATGGTGGTGAATGTGATTGCTCTCTAACGTTATAGTAATTAGAGTAAATACATTTTTTACTTTAAGTATTTTGTGACTCTTCATCTTATGGGATATACTAATTGAATGGGTGAATGAAAAGACAGCACTAGTCCAAAATTGAACATTTTCATGTGATTTTTACAGAAATTAACGCAGAAAGCATGGAACTACGTGTTGAGATTAAAACAGTTCAATATGGTCATTTGACTTCAAATCAGGCCGTGCCTTCTCTTTCACGAGTGAAAGAATAATGTCTGTTCTGGACATGTAGGCACTGCTCTTCCACTCAGGAAGTCTGGCGACTTGGGTTGTTCACATTTCTTGGTCCGAATGGTTCGGTGCTGATTCAATTTACTTGTTTTGTGACTGATCTGAAAAGAACCGAAGAGCAAAAGGTGAGGGGAACTACGCGAAGAGACTTCAATTTTCGATATTTTGGATTGAAAGAATGTGTTTACAGCCAAATTTGTAAACAAGTATTCACAAGCTTCAATGGAATATCATACATTCAGGTTCAACGATAACGGGAATTCTTTTGTCAGTCTGTCTCCGAAAGATGGAAGAGGAATGCTAAAGAACACCTTTTAACTTGCTAAGACAAAAGGACACACAGAATCTTTTCAGGGGAAAATTGTACACTGCTCATCAGATTCTCTGAAGTTTATGCCGAGTGAATTAAACTTCAAAACAGGCTGTTCACAAAAAAACTTGAAAAGGAAAATAATATATGAGTTTTACTTAATTTCAACTTCAAAATTGGAAGACCCCAAGTTATATAACTTGTGTACTCTTAAAACAGGTAAAACAAATAGTATTTTTGTAGCTTGGTGCAACATTTCTGAAGTAAGTTATTTGAATCTCAACAGTTCGATTGCCATATCTACTGAAACATTATAACAAGAATTATCTCGGAATGAACTTTCTGAACTGGTAGTTTTTCCACTCACCCATTCATGTGTAACACTTTAAATGATGTTTGTGCTTTCATAAGAGGAAAATCAAAACATTGAATGGAAAATTATAGTATTCAAATTTTTGATAAAATAGCTTTGCAGGAATGTGAAGGAATTACTTACAAAAACATCCATGTAACATTACAATGATGAACAAAATCGTCTTCATCCTTTCTAAATGTCTAGATTCGTTGTGTGAAGTTTATAGCCTGCTATAGAGTTTTATTTTACTCTCAATTGTGACATTCAGACCATCAACTGTTATTCAGAAAATGTTGTCATCGGATCCATTAACCCTGCAGTGGGGGAAATCGAGGTAGTTTGTCAAGATTCCATTCTCAGCCACTGCTGCTCTCTAGCGGTCTCAACTCACACCATAGTATTCCGAGGAGGCGTACGCGATTTTGAATTCCTGGCTTTAGTTTTCTATATATTACTAGTGCTTTTGCTCGTAAGTATTCATAAATTATTGATATAACTATCGCTCATTATTCACTCTCTATTCAATGAAACCTGGATTCCAACTATTTACTATTATTTGATAACAGTTGGATAATTTTATTATGTAACAATATTGAGGTTAGTTGTAATGTTTGCAGTATTTTCCATCTCAGCTTTTGTTAGAAAGGTCTGTGCGGGGTTGAAGGTCAAAAACGCAGGGAATGGTGGTCACGTGAGAGTTTCAGTAGTTCTTGTCGTGTTTTGGGCAAATAGGGTAAGAAATTATAAAAAAAAATACCAGCGTAGAATTTGGTCACGATCTCATGCTTGCAGCTGTGAGGAAGGTTAAAATGGAAGGATTAACAATTCGTAAAGCTGCAGCTGATTGATAAATCGAATATCAAGATTTAGAAGGAAAATGTATGAAATTTCTCAAGATTAAATTGATAATCAAACAATAGTTCAGCCTTTCACCATCGTTGGTATTTTTTCCAAATAGAAAAGCTTTGATGACAGCGAGAAGGAATATATTTTACAAGCAACTGATGTTTACTAGTTTAACGCCGAAATTAATGAAATAATTGCTTTTTTAACTTTGGTGGCTAATCCGAGTACATGCCCTAAATCTTGGGGAGAAACTGGGTGTGCCAGATGACTGGTGTGCTGATTTTTTTAAGACACCCTATTCATTCATTAAGATAGCAGCCAGTTTGGCACGAGCTTTTAACTTCACCGAAGAAATGTGGAATCTTTCTTCAATAATTTGAACATAGTTTTCAAAAGACATACTTTTGAATCCACGAAATTTGGAATTGGACGAAACTGCTGTTTCTTCAGCGCAGAGGCCAGTTAGAATTGTTGCCCAAAAGGACGCTAAACAAATTGGTGTCCTAGTTTCTGCTGAAAGGGGTTCTCTAGCTAACGAATATGTTCTTCAACGCCGCGACACAGCTGCTGAACGCGGGAGCGGTAGCAATCAATACCGAGAGACTGCATTTGGCAGTAGCGTGTTTTCTTGCTCAATCGCTGACTTAATATTTGAAGTACCGCCACTTTCTCATATGAAATCCGTGTCAAAAGAGGACCGCTCCGACGATTGGCAAGAGGTGGCATTACTTGATGCGCAGATTCGCATCGGCCAAGCAGCGTTTTACTTCCCCGCTACGCCATAGTTGTGTACTTCTAATATTCCAAAAAACACAACAATGTTTGTTAATGCGTACCATTCATCCGATTGCGATGAAACTTTGTCAACTTATTGCTTACACATGTGGGAAGAATAGAGGCATAGTAAGATGGGACTGGGTATATGCCTGCGCGTTAAAGATTTAATGTTGACCCAAGTCAACCCCCCTGGACAGGGCACTCTTCGCTACGCGTCGAACACTGAAGTACGAGGAATAGGAGCCTTCCTTGCACATGCCACCCGCGCTGTTGCGAAATTTCGCCCGGGAGAGACAGATTCAGGCACACACACACACAGAGGGAGAACGAGACGCAGAGAGAGAGAGAGAGAGAGAGAGAGAGAGAGGGGGGAGAGAGACGGAGAGACACAAGATAGAGGGATGGATACGGTGAGACGGAGAGAGAAAGGAAGAGGGAAGAAAGAGATGGAGGGCAGGACATCTGCCGGGTTCCGCTAGTTTAAAATATTTTATACAAATCATCCCATTCCACCAGAGCAATCACATCAAAGATCAAGATTATTATTTTTTTTACAGAGAACTACACATAAGACCATTGTTTCAATGATATGCAATACTTATATTTAAAATGTTTACTCAGACCTAGTTATGACCACGTGTTTTTGACGAAACCGAGCAACATAAATAACAAAACACTCTAATAAGGCCCACAAAGTGTAGTAAATTTAGTAATTTCTGACCTTAAAATGGTTATTATTCACAAAATGTGATTTAAAGCAAAATTTATTATATTTAAAATAACCAATAATATTATAAAACGCCGCATCGTATAATTGCTCAGAAGAGTATGGTCCCAAGTTTTAATGAGACTTAAGTTCGCCATGTTCCTTGATTCCTAACACAATGTTTTTAAAAATCAATCTATAAATACCAAATTTGGGCTGAAGATTGAAGAGGGCCTGCTAGAAGAATTGCTCAGATGGCCGAGAACAATCATAAGTACTAACACTACCCCTAATTTAAAATATATTCAATTCACGAGTTTGAATAGCACTAGGGACTCTTTGATAATGTACATTAGTATGTACCTACTATGGACATGAGGCTCTTAAGAGATACCGAAATCCATCTCACAATCTGACAAGGTGATACATACTTTATTTTAATTTGACAGAAATAAAATCGTTAATGAATAAATGCAAAATTATGTAACGTTTTATTAGCTTTATACGCTTCAAATTCGCTTTTACATCCACATTGTCATTGTTTTTGCATTTTTATTTCATTAAACAATGAAATTACAGTTTTCTCCACAGTGTTCTGACAATCAATTACTGAAATTTAATTAATGCAAAGTAAGTAAAGTTACATGCAATTTATTTTCAATCCACAAATATTAACAATAGTGGCATTTTTCGATATTTTATTAATAAATCTACTAATTAAAAATTATATAGAATTATTTGTTAACTCAATGATTATTCAAGAAATCTCTAATCAACGGCTCAAATCAAATAGTAGACAATTCAGAAGCTTATCTTATTAACTATTTTGACAGAAAATTAAAGTAGAATTTAAACAATGATAGTGTATGCTCCTAGAAGTTAATTAAATCAAACAATAAAATGAAACATTGAACATAACTTAAGAAAAAAATAGTATTGTACAAAACACGTTTGAATTAAATTGATAGTTGCACCGGCGCTGTTATTCTAACCAATCAGGAATGGAAGCTGGAGGCAGAGAATTGAGGTATGTGAGAAGATCTTCTGGTGCCACATCACAAATCATACAGTAGTGTATTGCTCTCTGCAGAATAAATGGCAATAGAGAATCAACAACATTGGAAACTCTTTTATCTTGATTTTCATTATTATTATCCAGCATATTATCATCAGTTCCAGAGCTGCTGCTTGTCCCTAAAGAGTGCTCTACATGCAAGGTGGAACTCCCAAACGTGGGATATTTAGAGGCCTGAAATTCGATGTTAGTATTATCAGTGTTTTCATGTTCGTCCACAAGGTTTTCACTGTTGTCTATACTAGATTCACTGAGACAATTCTCAGACTTTTCAGATCTTTGGGGCGTTGAAATTTCTTTTTCATGGGAAGAAAGATCTAAATTTTTAGTTGGAGTACAATTTACAAGGTCATTTCCTTTAGAACATGGTCCTGAATTGTTCAACTTTTCTGGAAAATTGTCTTCAGAATTCCTTACTGAGAAAATATGAAGCAAGTTATCAGATTCTTCAAGCAGCAAGGTAGTACATGGTAACTTTCTTTTTTTACTGTTCTCAGAACTTGAGCCTGAATTTTGTTCAGAATGACTTAAAATTTCTCTCGGGAGAGTTATATATGTCATACCAGATGACGTTTCCATATGGGTAGAAATAGTATTGTCCTCAAATTCTGAAGAATCACTGAAACAACCCTGAGAACTTTGGGTGCAGGTTTTTTGTGATTCAGCACATGAAAAAGTATCAGTAACATTTGATAGGGAACTTTTTCTTGGTTGATTCAAAGAGAAGTTTGATTTCACAAATATATTTTTATCTCTAATCAAAATCTGTTTGTCAGGCGACATTTTGGAACTTGAACTTGATTCTTCTATTTGGCATTTCGAAGTGGTTGAAGAATTTTCCTGAGATACAGGAACAATTATTACTTTTGTATTTATTTCTGTGGTTTCTCTCTTGGGTATACTTTTCACAAAAATTGGAAGTGAGGAGGTCGGCGTAGGTGGAGTGAAAGGATTTTCTGCTAATTGCGTTGCTGCTTCACGTGCTTCTTCTTGTCTGTTGGAGCCTCTTGTCCTCGGCAGGTCAATAGTGGCAGCATTCATAACAGTGTTATCTCTCTTCAAAAGTTTAGATGACTTTGACTGGTTTGGGGGAAAATTCACAACATTATTTTTCTTCCAATTGGGAATATTATTTGTAGTACTTCTTAAAAGTTCGTGAGGAGAAGAAAATGTGTAATCTGGAACATCTTCAGCAGATAATTGTATATGTTTGTCAACAGAGATGTGGGATGTTAGAGCTTCTTCTTCTCCTTCTTCTGAGTTCTTGTATTCAGTGGACGAAGTAATGCAAAATGTATTACTTTCATCAAAATGGCCAGTTACTAAGAATATATTTTTGCCATCGTTATCATCTTCCTTGTCTAGTTTTCTGGATTCAAATGACACCCTTTGTCCTTTATTATGATCAATTGATTTCAAAGGCGACTTACAGTGCAAGGACCATGGGGAGGTGTTTGCTTCATCTAAGAGAGGCTTTGTGGGTTGTAAATAAGAATTCTCTTTTGATTTGCTTTCCGGGAAATTATTCTTGAAATTAGTTCCGTCATCAACTTTCACTGAAAATGAAGTTTCTCCATTTTCCGTAGCAATACCACACGAGTAATTAATTTCTGCCGAAACAGGAGGATCGTCTTTTGCCTCACATGAATCGCTTTCATTGCTTTCCTCTGAGAGATCCAGTGGTTCTGATGACGTTTCTTTGTCACTCATTTGTACTGAACAAAGAGAAATGCCATCACTGTTGTGAGAAGAATCTAAGTTCTGTGACAATGAATTTATATCATGAAAATGATCAGTCTGGTTAATGTAATACTGGTCAAGAGCATGTGGAATAAATAGATTCTTGCCACTGGGTGGTGAATTTAACTGATTGCACGATTCAATTTCTTCTTTCATATCTTGCAGCACCTGTAAAATTTCAGAACAAAACAAAACATTCCGTTAACTATTTAATGCGCACGAGTAGAGTCTGGGCGTTTATGACTAAAAATGTTTAATTAGTAAGTGCTACATGCAGGGGCGTGTATTTCATAGATGCAAGGAAAGCACTTCTTACCCAAGTAAGTGGAAAAAAACTAGTAAGTGGTATTTAAAACAACCAGTACTTTACAAGGTATGAAAAACCGAACAAGAATGTTTGACAATTTTCCATTGTAGTTTCCACTCCAAAGGAGATAGTATTTTCTCTTTGTATCACACCCCTCCCATCCTGCCATCTTTGGCCTCGATGAATGAGTGTCGTGTGTGATGTTCTTTGACAAGGGTCGCAATCCCATTGTGCGCTTTACGCCGCTCTGCTCCTCGCAGGAATCGGCTGTTGCCTGCTTCAGCGCGTCGGGCGCCGTTGAAGCTGCCAGCAGCTGACTCCTCTCGGGGCAGGGGCAGCGGATGGGCGCTCACCTCAGCGCCGTAGGCCAGCGCCGCGTGCAGAGCCACCTGCATGCTGCGGCGCAGGGCGAGGGCGGCGGGGCCGGGCCGGCCGCCCGCGCGCCGCGCACACACCTTCGCCGTCACAACACTCGCCTGCGCAGCAGCCGACGCGCGCGTTCGGGTATAAAAACGTCTGTACAAAATAGACTTGGAATTTCTTTTGTGTGTTGTAGTGTTTACTGTTTTTATGTTGTAAATGTAGATGAATTGGAAATGTGCTAGTATGCTTGTGGTTACCATCTGGCAATCGCCCAGTTGTAGCCAAATATAATAATAATAATAATAATAATAATAATAATTATTATTATTATTATTATAATTTTACTTTGGCGCAACCCACTTCTGCTCGTTCTGGACAGTACATGTTTGCGCCACGAACCACGTGACCACAGACGCATGGAGAGCGAGGAGTATTGAGGAACATTTTTAAAATGGTACAAAGTGATAACTTTCAACGAAAATTAAAACGAGGAGGGTGTAATTGAAATAAAAGGGGCTTCAGTGACTTGCAATAAGGCAATATTTTGGAATCTGGCTGCATTTAGAATTCCCGCCAATATTGTGACGCAAGCTGGTGTCTGAAGCTCATTGACTGAAGTCGGACTCTCAGGAGCTTCGTTTAAATGGGAGTAGACTCAAATTTCCTTTCCCTTTAGCTTTAAGTGAAATGAGCCCCCGATGCCGTAGCTCGCCCTTATGAACCGGTGAAAAAAATATTTTAATAAAATGGTAAAATTAATATAATGAACGCTTATCTACGTGTGAAAACCCTCCTCAAGAAGGCCTTGACTTTGTGCAAGCCAGCGTGCGCGAGTGTGAGGTTGTAGCTAGTGAACGGAAGAATGGGTTTTTCGAAGTTCATAATTGAGTGTTGTCAAGTGCAAAAGGACTACAACTACGTCACGCGTTTTGTGGCCTATTTTACCATCTACCCCCCACCCCCCACCCCGCTCGTCACAGATTTCATAGATAAATTGAACCCCCTCGTGTGACGTACTAAATTGATGTCACTCCCTATCCACTAAAAAGTTTTTAAAACAAGTTATTTTCGATTTATTATATATTTTAAAATACTAAGTTTTAGATATTTAATATAATTAAACTGTTGAAAAGTTAGAAAATTTATAATTTTGAGATTAAATTTTTTGATAAAGGACTTTTTTAAAATTTTTTATAAAAATTTAGTTTCATTTTAAATTTTTTACTGGGACGTCACAAAGTTTAACACACTCCTCTCGCTTGCAGCACAATAACTACAAAACTAATTAACCTCCTTTCCTTAAGAGTGTGACGTAGTTTATGGACTGCCCCTAAGTGTATATAAAAACAATGTACAAAGTGTACATAAACGCAACGGAAAACAAATTTACATCTCCCCATAAGTGCTATTCTGTACTGTCTCTTCTTCATATGCACATGAACATAATCCGCATATGTAAACTAAAATATCATTAAAGAAATACACAAATGAACTGTTGCCATAATTTATATTTAGTACCTGTAATTAATAACGTGTTGTTCACATAGATTTAAGAATGGACAGATGGACCTTTTGAAAAATACGTTTTTCGGTATTAATGAACGACTAAAGTTGGATTGAGATTTTGTTACATATTAGAGAATGTATACAAATTTGCTTTGAAGGTATCAGAGAGCCACAAAACACGTTTTTCTGTTTAAAAAAGGATAGGGCAGTTCCAAAAGATTCATTCCAAATATTTTTCAAATCGCTAATAAATTTGGATCGATAGATTTGAAAATGATTGTAAATCTAACATAGTTTAAGCCAAAGAACATTACTTTTTTTCCTAATAGTGTCTCACTGTCTGTGCTTCGCCAACTCCAACCTCACACTGACTTGTACTCCCCAGACAACGAAATCGCGACTTGCTTTCCATAGGGGGATTGTAAATGCGTGTGACAAAACAAAGAACGGTAGGACGTCGATTATCCAAACTAATCGGTTCGGATATTTGATAATTCGTATATCCGAACTTTAAAATGGCATATGTACAGAAAATGATGTATGAATAGTTTCTGTAAGAGAACGTACCATTAAAATACTGCGCTGCACATAGAAATTCCTGTAGACAATAAACAATGGCATACTACATCACATAGTACCTTATTTCTTGAAGAATTTGCCCGTTTTCCGTTGCTGAAATTACAAGCATTCAGTATATGATTAGTTATTCAGTAAAATGATCTTACTGCTTGTTTATGTACGCTATCGTCGCACTAAAAGGCGGTGTTTTTTGTGTCAACAATGAACATTCCGATTGAGTGACAGCTGTTGAGTATTTACAATCGGTTGTTTGACAAAGTCCCGTTAATTCTCTTGCACTTAAAGGCGGTGCACTTAAGCGTTTTTTTTTGCATTAGCAGAATAAACATTCCAAATTCTTAAGCATTTATTGTAGGATTTGTCAAAGTTCAATTAAGTCAGATGATTAACTAGTCTAGGGTTTATTTAGTCGTGCAGATGACACAAATCAGCTGTTCACGATTTCATCCAATCGGGGGCTTGAACGTCCCCATAGTGACGTCACTGTAGCGACATTTATATTCCCGATTGGATGAAACCATCAACCGCTAACTTGTGTCACGTGCACGACTAACTTAATCGTACTATATAGTACAGTATCTCGTTAATATTTCATAACTGTCAATCTTATATAAAATATGAGTTTGAATGATTGACTAAAATATTATCCGCGCACGTTTTCTTGAGCCCTCGCTTCGCTAGTTGCGAGAGGCGTGGGGAATTTGGTTATTTTGGCAAAAGGACTTTTACGAGTATATCAACTTTGTAGTTCGTTTTTCGATGAAAAATAGTTTCTATTACACGAAATCAAACTACCCATCTATCAAATTTCTTCTGTACCGGTCGTTGCTATCATTTATTCTTAATGTATATAATGCAGGCAAATAGTGGGGGTAGAAATTCTGAGGCTCAAAAATCGTGCGCGTATAATACGTTCACAATGCAAACATAAACATAAGCATGGCGTTAACGTAAAAGTTAGACTAGGTCCGTACGCGGACTCATTTCCAATGCGTTCGCATGAGCATAACACTTAAGACGTTAACTTGAAAGCTTGCCAGCTTCCGTGCTTATGCTTAAGTAAGACATAAGAAACGAAGCAATGGCAGTACGGTTACTCAAAATGGAGAATGGAAAGAGGAGCGAAGTGGCGCCCCGGACCCAGTTGATTGTCACGTGCAGCGCATAGTGAAGCAGAAGGTCCGCCAGTACCTGTGGCTGCGGCTGCGGCTGCGGCTGCGGCTGGGGCGAGGCGGGGCTGTGCGAGGGCGAGGGCGAGCGCGCGGCGCCGGCGCGCGGCCACTCGGGGCGCTCGTGCATGCCCCGGGCGGGCCACTGGCGGCGGCGCACGCGCTCCCCGGCGCCCGGCGGCTGCCACACGCAGCCCACGGCCCCCGCGCCCACGCGCCCCGGCGCACGCGCGCGCGCGCACGCCTGCAACACGCGCCTGCCGCTCGTCCACCGGCCTCCCGTGGAGCAGCAACGAAGCAAGCAAAGGGACAAACACAGACCCCACGAATACCGCAATCGCTCCCAACAGAGCAATCAATCATTTTACGGTTTTCGTCGAGTTACGCGCCGAATTGAACGTGTGTGTCGCGTCAAGCCAATCGTTTGACATGTTTCAACCGGGTGTGCTGACTCCTGAAGTCGCTACCAGGTCCGCAGGGGGCCGCCAGCACCGCGCGCCTCAGTCCAGTGGATCTACCGCCGGCGAAAAGATAAAGATACTATCACCACAATTCGATGAGAACACACGTGACTAGCTCCACTGCCCGCACATTCCCACACGTCGGGAGCTTAAAGCTTCTCCGTTGGGCGATACCCGCTGGGTGGGAGCTACCTGGTTAGGAAACCCTGCAAGTAGATGTGCATGCTAGCGCTGGATCTCACTGTTCAGCTCGCGAAGAACACCGCCACGTACCTAGACCAATAAAAACATACACTATACTTACAGAATTAATGACAATAGCAGTTGATGACCTCGGAAACATGACCCAATAAATTATTCTACAGGAAGCTCAAAGAGGAAAAGGGACTTTAAGCGCAGCCTGACGTACAGCAACTGCAGCTACTCCCAAGTGATGAGCTACCGAACTGTACAGGCGCAGGAGATATTACAGTCGATTGCTGCCCGCTGCGAAGTGCTTGTGGTCTCTAATACTTCACGAGTTGCGCCTCTAGCAAGACGCTCGCATCCAGTGCGGTCGGTGTCGCATGACTCGAAGCAAGTTGTTACGATACTCTATTTAAATACCCGTTCGGCATATTTATCGCCATTTTAATATTTTTTCTTAAACCAGCGTTCACTATTGGAAAAAATCCTAAAAATCCTTCGAAATCAGCCAAAAATGACATTTTTAAATACTGATTAACCGAGCAAAACGAAATCATTTTACTTGACAGGTGCATTTAGAAAAGGATATACCCAACACAACTCTTTATCACCCTTCATTTTATCATTTCAGGAACACATCATAATACTGCATTAAGTTGAATTATGTAAAGAAGAAGAAACTAGAGGTTTTGCAACTCTGATAAGAAAGTATTTGCTCCCGGGTAATAAAATCTACAGCATGCCAGGCAAGTCTCTCCGCAGTGAAACCTTGATACTTGCAACGAACATTATGTTGGTAGTAGCGTGTAACAAAAGAAAACGTAAATACCCCCCCCCCCCCCAATCATAGCAGATGCAGGAAATGCCCCCTTCAGTTGTTTCCCAGTGCTCACTAACATAAAGGCGGTTTTTATCAGGAGGCGCTGACTCGGCCTAGTGTGGAGAGGCACTATATTTGAAAGGCAACTCATTTACAGATTTATCATATCATCTGCCGCAGAGGCGATTCGTATCGGGAGATTTGCAGGGCGGAGGCGCCTCCTGCACGGGCGGTGGCAGGCAGCGCGCATGCGCAGTCGCGAGCTCCGTCACCGCCACCGCACGATCCCAGCTTCAGCCAGAAGCAAACCAACCTCCCCTCCAAATCATGGGCCACCGACAAGCGTGGTCCCTGGCGATCCTCCGCCTGCCCCCTTCCATTCAAAGGAGTCTCTCCGCTCCCAGCCCAATCAGGGGCTCTAGTAAAAATTGCTTTCTGTTCGTAGCAACCACATCACTAGGAAAAAGTGAAGGGAACAACACTTCCAGCATTTGTTAAGATGCGAGTAAGCGATTTATCTTTTCACTTCAGCTGCAGTACGTGCTACCATCATTACCATAATGTCTGGTATAACGGTTAGCGTAACCGAATCAAAGTCGGGCTTCTAACGGCGAACAAATCCTTCGAAAGCTTTCTTTTGGAAGGGAAGTAAAGCCGGCTGTACAATATGTAGATTTACTGCATGTAAAAGATCCTCAAGCCTAAAAGAAGTCTGTGAAATAAATTCAAAATTGCCAGTTTATTATATATATTTATTTATTTTGGCCACAATTGGCGTCTTTGCCAGGTGGTAGCCAATTAATTTCATTATACAAATGTAAATTAAATATAATGTATTACCTAGAACACTGTATACCCCAGCATAGCAAAAAAGCCTCCATTTCACGCGTACACATGTGAAACTCAGACTCTCTGCACACACCCAAACACGCACGCACCACGCACAAATACGTATATACTCACACGCCCACACATACATACATACTTATACACACACATATTCATATATACTCATATACACATATACATACGCATATTGCTCAAGAAATACCTCCTTTCTCTGCTAGTTGGTGAAAGGGGGGAGCGAAATTTGCGTGGTCAGACGGAAGAGCGAGCCTCATGGCCTGAGACTCGCCACGGAAAATAAGGCGTTGACTACGTTCTGTCGCTAGCTCCAAACACTATAGAGACAAAACGGGACGCTCGGCGATAGAACGGGAGACACTTGACACACCAGAGTTCGACTTGTTTGTCACCATTGGATCATTACGCTAAGAAGTGTACAAAGTTTGAAAGTGTTTAGTTTTACCTGCGTTCGCAAGTCATTTTCGTACATTTGTATTAAACTTTTGAATGAGTGGCAAGTCAGGTCGCGAGAAAAAGGCTCGCTGCGCGGGCGCACCTTGTGGGCGGGAGGCAGCGGCCGCTTGAGCTCCTTGCGGGCGGCCGCCGGGGGCGGCGCCGGGGGCGGCGCCGGGGCGGCGCGGGGGCAGGGCCGGGGGCCGGGGCCGGGCCCCGGCGGCGCGCCGCGCGCTTGCTCATCTTCATCTCGGGAAGTCTCCGCGCCCGCGCACCTACCAACACACACACACACTCGCACCCGCCTCGCCGCGCAGCAACTAGCCACAGCAAACATTTTGCATTTATTGACGTAAAGAAAACATCTTCCTCAGGACGATGCACCGGAGGGAGTTCACACAACACACAAGATACTTTCATGTACTGCAACTTACCGCACTGCCTGGAAGACCGGTCCCGGGGACTCAGAGCTTACCCCACTGGTGGAAGCTGCTTCCAACCTGGACTAGCTGAGAAGCTAGCGGACTAGCTAGCGAGAGAGAGAAGCTAGCTAGAAGCTTTTAGGACGATTGCACCGGAGGAGTTGGCTCAGGGCGTCAGTTGATGGGAGGGTCTAGGGTTCTATTCCCGCCCAAGGCAGGATTTACCTCACTAGCCACTCGGCCGAATTCAGGCGCAGTCTCGAGGAGAATTCTCATTCTAACCGGCTGCTCTGATCGGTGATTTTCACCCATCAACGCCTGGCGAATGCCAGAGGAGTGCTCTAATAAACGGGCGACGGATCGCACGCGATCTTTCCTTCCCCTTTCTTGCTCTGTCGTCACCCCTCACACACACACTTTCATGTACTGCACTCCCGTACCTGCCTGGAGACCGGTCGGGGGCTCAGAGCTTACCCCGCTGGTGAAAGCTGCTTCCAACCTGGACTAGCTGAGAAGCTAGCGCAGCACATCCAGCCGCTCCGCCGGGACTGGAGCCCCAGGCCTCCCGGCCAGAGCCACCTCGGCCATCGGAGTGCGCGCTTGTAGGCATGACTGCACAACTCTACTCACCACTGTTCCAAAGAGCTCTCTGGCGGAGACGTTAACATTCTGAGAAGTTCGCGACTTGGAGGCGCAGCGTTGTCGCGTCGCAGTCCCTTAGCAACGCGGCCTCAGCCTGGAGTGAGCGCGCAGTCAACGTGGAGGCAACACAGCGCCAGCGGTCCACTCTGCGCCCGCCTCTGGGCCCCGACTCTTCGCCTTCCCACCGAACAAGACCATTTCTTGGTTTTTCTTCTCTGGCTATTTTTTATGCTGTGTTAAATAAATGTGTATTCACGAACTGACTTCGTCCTCATTTCAAATACACTACATTTACATAATTATATTACAATAATGATCCAGTTCACAAACTTCCAGAGCCGCGGCCGGAGTGGGCTCTGAGCTGTCGACCGGCCTCCAGGCGTGCGCGGTAGTGTAGTGCGTGTGAGGATAGGACGAGGAAGAGCATTGGCCTGGTGCCCTGGCTGGCCAGGTCTCTGCGGCGCACGCGCGGCACTGGCTCGCACCTCGCTCTCCCCGCACGCGCTCACAAACGCACCAAGCTAGCGACAAAGAAGCAACTACTCGCCGGCAGCGCGGAAGCCACTCTGTGGTGCGACACGTGACCTGCTCTGAAGCAATCAGGTGCGAGGTTTTGTTTACTCTCTCTCAGCCAGCGTTGCTGCTCATCTGACTCGCATGGAATCGCGCAGGCGATAAGGTTCGGCTTTGGTGCAGGTTATGAACATCAAGATGTTTTGGTACCGATGACGTATCCCTACTACGTATCGACAGTATATAAGCCACTCTGTCAGTTCTCTCTCCGTGTGCTGTGGTGCGTCACGTTATCTGCTTTGAAGCAATCAGCGCGCGAGGATTTTTTCACTTTCTCACAGCCAGCGTCCCGGGACAATCGTCCCTCGGCCCTCATCAGGCGTCCCACCGACCGGTCACCAAGCGGCTTCCGGGCTCTAGCAGGCTAAAGATTGATAGGGACCTGCCAAGAAGATGACTGCAAACGCGCGGCAACGCAAGGTAACACCCATCATGATGAAAACTAAAACCTTCAGAAACAGAACAACGTAAACATTTCCAAGATATTTAGCTTTGTCAACGAACAATTGTCTGAAGAATCACACGAAGCAAAGATAATTCCACCAACTTTTGTTACCGCTACAGGCTCCTCTTTATCTCAAACATTATTCCACATATACATCGCACATTTTCCATCATCAAAAACTTCTAATAGAGCTCAATTCGCAGATGATGCAGCATATTTGCCTCGGGATACTCACTCAATAACCTCCGATCACAAATTTAAAGCCACTTAAACGAAATTGAATCCTGTGCAAACATCTGGAAAATTCAACTTAATCCTGCCAAAAACAACAGCAAAAACCTTCACTCAGAAAGTTTACCTCCTCCCCTCCGTTAGTGATGAACATCTCCCCATCACCTAGGCCCCACTGTCACAACCCATAAAATACTTATGACTTCATCTGGTCACAAAATTAACCTGAAAAACCCATATAAATATCAAAATTAAACAAGCAAGAAATATTTTTTCCAACTCCGGCCACTAATCAACAAACACAAATCTCTGTCATACACAAACTTTACAACAATTTTTAAAACTATAATAAGGCCACTAATGCTCTACGCATGTCCGATATGGACAGACGCAACACCCACAAATGTCAATAAAATCCAAGTAATTCAAAATAAATTCATCAGTCACAAAACAAATTCTGGCTTCACCATGTGATAGAGAATTTTTTCTCAATTTAGCAACTGGATTTATCCACTTTTTCGTTACCTGTAATAACTTTTTCTGCCAAAAATTCGCCGTTCTTTCGCGCAGGAGGACTTAAAGAGTGGTTGACGTGAGGGGTTTTATGATCGCAGAGTTAATCGATGAGGTGCGATTACGCCATACCTCAAGGACCTTAGCTGAAGGTGGTCGATCTACGGATATCTTTCTGAACTACACGCCTCGCGGCGACTCATATGATCGAAGTTGAGATCTATAAAGCAGGAAGTCTGAATCAAATGCTAGCTGTGCATCACATTCCAATACCTGATTTTCGAAGTGTAGAGTATATGGTAAAGTGTTGGTGTAAAGTACCAATTTAGAAAAGGTCTTGAGGTAGGGCAGAAATTTTGTGGCAGAAACTTGATACTAACAGTTCGTTTTGGATGAGGATTGGTAACTAGTGATTAAAGCACCTTTGTTTATATCAAACAACCTCCCTCACCACGAATTAGGCATAACTCCCAATCCTCACTCACATCAAATTACCTAGCAATGAATTTAAATCTTTCCAGTCAATAAATGAAACAATAATTCTTCTGGAATCACCTCTCAAAAGTTCTATAAATATTGTAATTGGAGCTCAAATTCTTTACAAAAGTGTGTACACGAAAGAACAAATCTTTTACAGTGTGGTTATAAATGACTCGAAGCCTTTTCTATTAATACGAAGGCAAGAAATTGAATTTTGGTGTAATATTTGGGTCTAATATTGTCAGGAAAGAAATGGTTGTAAGCGGACAAAACAATGTTTCTAGAGAAGCCAGTCACATAATATTATCTTCTATTCTTGTCATCGGCGATGTTTATCGCACTGGGTATATTAAAAGTAATATTGGTTGTGATAAATTAGTTCCCCCAAACATTTTTTGATTGTTGACTGCAAATAATATACAAACCTTCGCAAGAAGAACTTTCTGACATCTCGTTGGCTGCTCCTTCAATCCGACCGTCTACTGTTTCCTCTGAGGACTCCTTAAACGTCTCCATATCTAGAAAGCAAATAAGAAAAGAACAAGGTACTGTATGTAATACACCAGCTGGAAATGCAATCTTTTAACACGCCATTTTCACTCATCAAACTCACCAAAAAATGGCAAACTTAATTTAGGGAAAGGGAAATATGATAGAATATCCAAAAATTCAGAAGAGTTGGAGAAATTAGAGCCGTCTCAATTTTTATATGCGCAATTTGCTACATTCAAGAAAAAATTAAAATTAAAATTTGGGAGAGACATTTTCGAAAATGTGTCGGATTCGTGTAAAAATATCTGCAATATTAAGACATCGGTTTCAAATTAAAGGGGACGTGACATCAGGCAGATCAATCATTGAGGAATATCAAATGGTGAAAATCCTGTGAACAGTTTATGCTCTAGCGATGTTGACAGATAGACGCTCGGTCGTTTTGCAATAAACCAATTCTTCTGTATCAAGGACCAACCAAACGTGGATTCTGATTACACAACGTGTTCAGTCTTCGTGCGACAGTGGTGGCGTGAGGTAGCCAGAGCTCTGCTGTGCGACCCTGTCAGATCTGCTGCGATAAAACAGTTACTTCGCCGTTCGCCACTCCAATAAACGGAGGGGCGGGGAGCCACGCATCGCATCGCGACAGTATTATTTTTAAGCTAGTGAAATGAGCCATACAAGTGCTTCTGATAAATAGTACATCGAAACAAACATTGCAAATCAGTGTAGTGAATGGCATGCAGTTACGACCCTCCAAAAAGCGAAGTCGTAAGTGCTGCATTGCTTGTTATTGACAACAGTGAGAACCAGTCAGCAACAATGGAAAACTTCATACCAGATAATCCAAATCAATTCTCCGAACACGAAATGGAGGTGACGATGTAAAACATCACCAACCAAATGACCACACCAATGGCTAGCAACCGATTCAACGCAGCCAACCGCCCACCCAACAAATACTACACTCTAGAAAAAGGTCGATGACAATCAATGATATAGAGCGTCAACCCCCCAAAAAATAATTTCAAAAATAGGTTCGGACCTGTGAGTGAACTTGATAAGCAAACAACAGAAAACAAATTCACCGATATTAACAAATTCCCTAGTGAACAGAGTGAAACCCCAGTGAAATACCACCAATCATAGTGGCAGACATTCTCAATTATAATGCATTCATCAACAAAGTTAAATCTAAAGTCACCACAAATTTCATTGCTGATGAAAAAACAATAAAATTAAAATTAGTGAAAACACACCTACGAATTCCCGAATTGTAATCAGGTACCTAATTCATACTCATCAAAGTTTGTATTCCTCCAACGATATGTTGAATAAAAATGTCCCCATAGTTTTTAAGAATGTCGACCTATACATTACTGATCATTTGTAACAACAGAGTAAAAGCGGAAGCAAGGAAAAAATCCCAATGTCCCTTCCAATGCCACCGGGGCCTGGATTATGGCCATGGATAATTGCAACCACTCAAGCGGTGTTTTGCTCAGGTAATCACTACTCGGTAACTTGCCCTAATCG